GGTAAGATCTCGTCATAACTAACAAAACGAGCCCAAATTCGGCACACCTAGTTCTACTCGTCCAGGTGTTGCAGTAGTAGTCACCAACGTACTCCATTAGGTCATTCTGTCAAGTCTGGAGGTAAGGTCTCGTCATAACTAACAAAACGAGCCCAAACTCGGCATACCTACTTCTACTCGTCCAGGAGTTCCACTAGCAATTACCGAAGTACACCTTCAGGTCATTCCATCAAGTCCAAGACGAATAGGATTTTTATATATTTATATATTATAAATCCCACTTGCTTTTAACGAAACAAAACATTATGATAAGAACATTATAACAAGACTTTGTGATTATAAAAATATATTTATATTACATATGTATTACTTTACTTTGTCAGGTCAGATACATGTTTGTACAGCGATCTTTTTCAGCTGCTGCAGGCGATACAGCAACCACCCGCGATAGCGGCCGAGCGCCGACTGTGGTTTCATCGAAATTTTTGTACAACAAATGAAAACAGGCACTAAAAATAAAATAAACCTTATTGCAATCCATTAGGATTCATCCGTATCAGCAAAATATGTCAAAAAAATCAGTTTTTATTTTTTTACGACCATTTGTGACATTTTGATAAAAAGAAAACACCAGCATTTTTTATTGAATATGTCTGCCTACTTACAGTATTTTTAGAAATCTTAATATATGTTGATAATAGAACAAAAAATGTACCGAAACATGAGCCGGTATCGTTAATTTTGTAGAAAATGGCTAGGGAAGATCCTTTTTACAATGTAAAAAACTATTATTTTCAACAAAAAAGTTACCACCATTTGAAGATAAAGAACCATTCTATACGTTGTAGTTATTAGTTATATTTGATTTGGTTTAGTTTTGTCACAAAATGTACCGAAAAACAGCATAATTTGGCCCGATTTGCAAACGCACCCTTAACTAAAAATTTTAAAACTAAATTTAACTAAAAAGACTAAACTGACCATTTATTTTTTAACTCAAAACAGGACATGGGTTTATTTATACTCTAAAAACTATAACTTTATACAATTAGTGTTCACTGTAAAATTATATTCGGTATAGACGGTAATTATTAAATGCAACATATTTTTTTTAATTATTAATTACATTTGTAAGTGGATTAAATCTGCTTTAATAAAGTTGGTGATGATTTTAAATAAAAATAAAATTCTGCTCAAGTTTTTTTATTGTTATCTTTGTTAACAACATCGCCTTTAGAACTCTGGAACTCTGTTTCTTTCAGACGTCCACAATTTATTCAAAATAAAAAAATACTCTTTCTACTGGAGCATTCGTACCAGGTAGACATAAAATATATTCGATTAAAAAAAATTATGTTTAAGATTGTTGACTTTGAATACTTCCATCCAACGAGTTACGGGACAATTTAGTGTCCCGGAGCTTTGTTTGGGGACAATGGGACAGGTGACCGAGAAAAGGGACAGTCCCGTTCAAAACGGGACGTATGGTCACTTTAGCTATAACCTGGCGACGGCTCCGTGGCGCAGTGGCTTAGTAATCAGTTGTTGCGCTGGGGGCCGCGGGTTCGAATCTCGCACGGAACAAGTATTTGTATGGCCTACAAATAATTGTTCCGGGTCTGGATGTTTGTCCTTGTGCAATTTATGTTCGTAAACTGCCTCCACAACACAGGAGAAAATCCTAGTGTGGGGGTAACGTTTTTTTACAATTGAAATTGAAAGATTGAACCCTTATACTTCTTGTTGATTTTTGTATTACCTTTATTAAAGTTACCCTTATGTATAAATAAATATAATTACGTATGTAGAAATAAAATTGATTTTCATCCTCATCAATCATTGGGGCGAGGATAATGTCTGCCAGCATAAGTAATAAGCAGGCTAAGTTACAAGGTGCTCAGTTCAAAAATTTGTAGGTAGGATATGTTACTTTTCAATACGTGACACGTAAAAATTAACAATAATCAAAAACACATCTACGAAACATCCTATTTATTTATTTATTCTTTATTGCACCAAATATTTGTACAAAAGGCGAGCTATCTTATTTATTTACCTATAGTGAATAGGTATCTTTTAAACTGACAATTTTCAATGCTTCATTTTTAATATATAATTAATTATAAAATTTCATAATTAGATAATATATGAAAATACATAATTCTAATATAATGCAACTAATATACCGAATAAAAAAATTAAAATACATTTATCGTTGTACGCTGTGTGTATTTCCATAAATTAGTTTATTGATGTTGAAAAAATGATACTACATAATAGGTGGCGTCTTAAATAAGCAATATATTGAAGCGAGCGGCGTGCCGCCGGCAAATGCTCAAGGTCGTTCGCATGGAGTAGCCTCTTAAGGGGCTACTCCATGCGAACGACCTTGAGCATTTTGCCGGCGGCACGCCGCTCGCCTCAATATATTGCTTATTTGAAATATGTACGACGCCACCACCTATTGTAGGTACGAACGTAGTATTATTTTTTCAACATCAATGAACTAATTTATGGAAATACACACAGCGTACAACGATAAATGTATTTTAATTTTTTTATTCGGTATATTAGTTGCATTATATTAGAATTATGTATTTTCATATATTATCTAATTATGAAATTTTATAATTAATTATATATTAAAAATGAAGCATTGAAAATTGTGAGTTTAAAAGATACCTATTCACTACAGGTAAATAAATATATAGCTCGCCTTTAGTACAAATATTTGGTGCAAGAAAGAATAAATAAATAAATAGGATGTTTCGTAGATGTGTTTTTGATTATTGTTAATTTTTACGTGTCACGTATTGAAAAGTAATATACCTAACTACGAGTACTAATACAAAAATCAACAAGAAGTATAAGGGTTCAATCTTTCAATTTCAATTGTAAAAAAACGTTACCCCCACACTAGGATTTTCTCCTGTGTCGTGGAGGCAGTTTACAAACATAAATTGCACAAGGACAAACATCCAGACCCGGAACAATTATTTGTAAGCCATACAAATACTTGTTCCGTGCGGGATTCGAACCCGCGGCCCCCAGCGCAACAACTAATTGCTAAGCCACTGCCCCACGTAGCCGTCGCCGGGTTATAGCTAAAGTGACCACACGTCCCGTTTTGAACGGGACTGTCCCTTTTCTCGGTCACCTGTCCCATTGCCCCAAACAAAGCTCCGGGACACTAAATTGTCCCGTAACTCGTTGGATGGAAGTATTCAAAGTCAACAATCTTCAACATAATTTTTTTTAATCGAATATATTTTATGTCTACCTGCTACGAATGCTCCGGTAGAAAGAGTATTTTTTTTTATTTTGAATAAATTGTGGACGTCTGAAAGAAACACTTACGGTTCCAGAGTTCTAAAGGCGATGTTGTTAACAAAGATAACAATAAAAAAACTTGAGCAGAATTTTATTTTTATTTAAAATCATCACCAACTTTATTAAAGAAAATTTAATCCACTGACAAATGTAATTAATAATTAAGAAAAATATGTTGCATTTAATAATTACCGTCTATACCGAATATAATTTTACAGTGAACACTAATTGTATAAAGTTATAGTTTTTAGAGTATAAATAAACCCATGTCCTGTTTTGAGTTAAAAAATAAATGGTCAGTTTAGTCTTTTTAGTTAAATTTAGTTTTAAAAATTTTTAGTAGTAAAAAGTAGGTATATTAGTACCTACTTAGATACTTTTTACCGAATTATAAGTATAGAACACCTTATGTACTCAATTATTTTTTGAAAAAGAAGAAAAAACAAGCAATAAATAATATACTATATTTTAGCAAAAAACTATAACTTAGTAATACTAATTATAACTTAGAACATAAATGAAAAACTCATAACTTACAGGGCCCGACCCAGGATTCGAACCCGGGACCTAATGATCAGCAGTCGCACTACTACAACCACTAGACCAACGAGGCAGTACTGTACGTAATAAGATATTGTGGTTGGGTGATAATATTGAATTAGCCTTTTATAGTGTAAATTATAATATTTATCGAAATTTTAATTATGGATTCGAACCTTACATGCCAATGGTGCTTCATTTTTTTATTTGCATTTACTTCAAAGAAAATACACGCAAAAAGCTTCATCGCGCAGTAAAAAACACAATAAATATATGTATAACTAATACGAAAAATTATACCCAAAACAAACAAATAATACTACCTATAAATAACCTAATAAGTAATATTATTTATCGACTGATATTACGTGAGTGTATGCGGCGCTGGTCGACGCTCTAACGACACGGGCTTCGCGTCGAAGAGCTCAGGGCTCACTGACTCTAGCAAGCCCGTAAGCAGTGAATATGCCCAGATTTTAAAATAATTTCTTAATAAAATCAAATTTTGGTCTTTTGAAAAAAAATTTACTATAGAAATGTTTATTAATAAATTGTCTATCCATTGGTGTAAATCGCAAAATAAAATAATACTTACTTTACGAGGAGATCCATGTTATCAATAATAATTTCACATTTATGTGGTTTCGTTGTAAGGAGATTATATTAATATTTATTCGTTTTAAAAAAAATTGGATATAGCTTTTATGGAATCAAGATTATGTAGAAATATAATGTGTTTTTTATTTGTTGATATATCTTTTAAATAAAAAGTAGATAGCTTCTAAAAACCGCACAAATAACGACTAGCGCGACATTTTGCTCAACCTGCGCCTTAATACACGCGCCACAAATTTTTTTTCGACGAAATAAACTGTAGGCTAATTTCACGAAGGTCACTTCCGAGGCGTGCAAAGTATTATGAACATTAGTGGCGTTGTAACTAAATTTAAACTTGCAAGTTAGCTATCAGAGAGTGAGCCTTCTGTTCTTTTAACTATTATTTATTCTGTGGTTGTACAAAATTTTAATTTTACCACTTGTTCTAACTGTATTTGCTATTTCATTCTTTTAATTTTTTATATACAACAAATAATATAAAAATTCATATTTTTCATCTCTTTTTATTTCAGCATTTACGACGAAGGTGTCTACAAATTCCACGGCATTCCATACGCAGTTCCACCAGTTGGAAAAAAAAGATTTACATATGCTCAGCCACTGAATAACTTGTCTCTGTGTTGGAATGGCACTCTCGAAGCTCACGAGCCCGCACCCTTATGTCTACAGTTTTTAGAAAACGGCACGATCATTGGCGAAGAAGATTGCTTGACCCTAGATATTGTCACCCCTCAAGTCCGTTACGACTCACCGTTGCCCGTTGTTGTATTGATCGGGACCAACTCTCTTGCAGGCGGTATAAGTCCTGCGCAACCCTCAGCTTTATATGCACGCACAAAAGAAGTAGTGTTTGTACGGCCTAATTTCAGACTTGGGGCATTTGGTTTCTTAGCACTCGACATTTTATCAAATTCAAAGTACCCGGCCGCATCGGGAAATTATGGTCTGAGTGATTTACTAGTTGCATTACAATGGGTACAATATAACATAAAACATTTTGGTGGAGATGCGGAGTCTGTCACTTTGCTCGGACATAGAGCTGGAGCAACTCTGACAGCCGCTTTGACTACTGCTACGAAAGCTCAGAAGCTTTATTCTAGAGTTTGGCTTTCCTCCGCCTCTGTCATATTTCCCGGTGAACCTTTACAAATATCGCAGAGTAATAATGAACAGTTTAAGCAAATTAGTAAATGCAGCGATGCTGACTGTTTACGGCGCATTACCGCTATGGAAATTCTTTCTGCAACTCCTGACACCTGGCTAGGTAATAATATCGATTCTTTACCATCAGCTGACGAATTCAAGCGTTCTTGGTTAGTACTGGACGGAGACCATCTGAGGGTACATGCTTATGAAAGTTGGGATGCGCAAAAGGAAGCGAAAGAGAAAGGCAAGGAAAAAGTTTTCAAGCCTATGGTATTCGGCACGACCATGCACTCTAGTCACACGGATTTGCTTAAAATGTTGCACATAAACTGGACTGCAGATATCGTGGAGAAAATGGTCAATGAAAGTTACATTGGCGAAAAGAATTTGACATCGTCGGTGTTTACATATTTTAATAAAACATATGAGGGCTTAGTCGAGTTGATTTCGTCTATTCGTACCTTGTGTCCCTTAGTAAGCCTTGCTCGTTTACGTCTAGATGTGCCTATGTACGTGGTTAACGGCTCAGGTGCGGGTGGCGGTGTTATGGGCTCCGGTATGGCAGATATTAATTCCGACATTGAAGCCATTCTCGGCACATTTGAATCTGCAATGCCTGAACAGCGACGGTATATGGCGGCTATGCAACAATTCTTTTATTATTACGTATGGAACGGTCGGCTACCTGGCCCGGAAACTGGCTTGATAGACGTTGGTCAAGACTTACTCCCGCTTCATGGTTTACCAGCATGTGATCTCCTTATACGAGAAGACGTTGTACCCAGATACGCCCACGTCGATTAATTTACTGCGGCCAAAGTGATTATGTTTAAAGTTTACTGATGTAATTGTGTGTCTTTTACAGAATTTTTTTATGCATTTTCTACAAATCGTTTTGCTTACACCGCCACCTGTTTTTGTAACGTTTTTATTGAGATTTGTACATGTAGTTATTTTGTGCACGTATTTTAGACTTAAGTGCTTAGAAACAAACCTGTCGTGTTTAGTAAGAAACATGTCATTATTAGATTAAACAAAATAGGAACAGTTAGATGGATCAATATAAGATCTGATAAGTGAAACTTGTGAAGTAAGCTCTAAGTAATTTGTGCCGTTTTGAATCTCCATAGAGTGATTAATTTACAAACGTTGAATTGCCATATAATATTTAGACCAGTCTTTTTTTACCTTTTCAATTTACAAATTAACTAGAACGGTAAGACTGATTTTAAAATATAATTCACCTTGATCTCATGAAAAGGCATTCTAGGGGTTTTATTTTATAATAACAATGTAATACATTTTTAAAATTCAATAACTATTCCAGTTTTATAGGTCTGACCATAATATATAATATTAATCAATAATCATTGTAACGACGTATTTTAGCCTTATACCATTATTTAAGTTAGTGTCCATATCTGAAATTGTGATTTACTTTGAAGTCTGAATAATCCAAAGAGTGATTTTTGTCGATATACTATATCAATAACCAAAAAGCTTTTTGTAAGGTTAATATTATAGCATTTTTACTGTAATTATTGTGTAATGTGTATTTCACCATTAGTTTTAAATACATGTCTTGCCAGAAATTAAATAATAAGGATTGCAGTATTAATACCAAAGGCTTAGTTTGATCGAGGTGGTAATATAACCATTACTTACTTTAACTTTTATTGTCAAAATTGTTAACCCTCGCTCGAATTATTTTTTAGTTGTAAGTAATTAGTAATAGTCGCAAAGCTTTTTTGTAAATTGGTATCTTAAAAATAAAAAGACTGTCTTATGTATATAAATTTTTTTTTTGTATTTATAGTTCATACCCCCTTGTTCTTTTTTTTAAATATTTTATGAACACTATAATTAAACTTAAAAAGGGAAAACTAACTAGAAATAATAAAGGATGATTTTTGTAATCATTTTTTTTAACACCGACTTCAGAAGCTATTAAATTATGTAGAAAAAATTCGACTCAATCCTACTGTGTTTTTTATGTGTGTTATTTCATAACTTTTTTCTGGGTGAACAGATTTCTATAATTCTTTTTTTATTTGAAAGCCGGTGTTTCTCATGTGGTCCCATATAAATTTTATCAAGGTCTGACCAATATTTTTTGAGTTAATCTTAATAATTTATATTGAAGTTGGTTGTACAAAATTTTAAATTATTTTTCTTTTATGTTAGCTTTTTTTATAGGATAAGAAAAATAACACCCCAATACATTTTCAAAACTTCTTAAATTTGTGAATTAATCCATAGTTTCACGATACACGAAGGTGATTATTTTCGAGCACACAGTCCACCTGATGGTAAGTAGTTGCTATGGCCCATAGACATCTACATCTATCCTCAACTACGAATCAAAATGCAGATGCGTTGTCACTCGTGAAGACTAAGATAGAATAGCTCGTTTCATATGTATTTATAAAAAAAACTAGCCAGACACTTTGTACGTGGTAGAGCCATGCTGCAGCTATATTAGTAGTATAGTTGTAGCACGAATGGCTCAGCTCGACCGGGGAAGGACCACGTTCTCACAGAATACCAGCGTAAAATGGCTGCTTGACACTGCTGTGTTTCTTATGGTGAGTGTAAAGAACCGGACACCCTTTTTACCGGAAAAGAGGCATTCCATCTTAGTCCTCACGGGTATCAACGCATCTGCATTTTGATTCTTTATTGATTATAAATGTAGATGTCTATGGGTCACAGTAACCACTTACCATCAGGTGGACACTGTGTGCTCGTTTGTTACCCTTATTCTATTTTAAAGAAAAACAGTACAACCAGAGATTTTTCTTTAATTTTATACAAACAAACTTCCTCCGACCTATTATGTTAATTTGTACGAAAATAAGGACCTTCGCGTAGTGAAACTTCGGATTAATTCATAATTCAAGTTTTTGAAAATTTATATGAGTAATTTTCATAATATAATATTCTCTCATTAATTAGGCATAAAAAAGTTGGACTATTGTAGATTTTCACGTATTATAACCTAAAGTTCTGAAATGACACCCCCGCTAATCTTTTTCCTTCAGTGAAAGAAAGGTCGCCCTCGCCCGGCCAATTTTAGAAAAGGTTTGTTGAGGGTACTGTTTACTTAGGCAGAAAAGTATAAGAGGATCTAGGTACTGTAACAATTGGCTACTTTTAACATTAATATAATACGCTTACTCCTACACAAAGCCGCAGCTGGAAAGGGCACTGCTCGGTATCTCCCTGCGGGATAAAATGCACAACCAGGATATCAGCAGAATAAAAGTAACTGACATAGCCCAGCGAATCAGCAAGCCGATGGCAATGGACCAGTTATATAGCTCGGGAAATCTACAACCGATGAAAATGAAAAGTTCTCGAGTAGCAGCCTCGTAATGGCAAGCGCAGTTTTAGTCGACTCCCCACTAGATGGCGTGACCTGATAAAAAAGCAGGCAGTCGATGGATGCAGGTAGCTCAGGACCGTACTTTGTGGCAATATATGGGGAGGCCTATGTTCAGCAGCGAACTTATGACGCGCATTTGCAGCATTTCAAAGACAAAGACACAAGACACTGGTAGTGAGTGAAGTATACAAGTTATATATTTTAGGTTAGGTTATGGTTTGTATTAGAAGAAAAAACAATTTGATGTAGGTAATAATTTTTACTGACGACAACTAATATAGTAAAATGCAGCAGCAAAACATATTTTAACATACCATTCAATCAAACAAAACGAATTTTATATATAAAACAACTAGGTCAGAAACAAACATTCAAACTGATAATAAATAATATGAATCATCCAAAACCACGATTTATGTTACATACTTAATTAATAATAAATTAAATATTTGCAATTTAAACATGTGATGTAGTAAGTAAAAAACCTAAAGGTTATTTAATGATTACGTTCCCGTAATGGCGAAACCACAGCCTGTATATTTTCTTTTCCAATTTTAAGAGTCTTTCTACTAACAGAAGGTGACTTTGGCATTACTTGCGACTGTTCCATTTCCTTCTTCATTTTATCTATGATAGAAGATTGCTTAGCCAATGTCATAGTGAGTTCTTCGTTTTCTTGACGTAGCAGAGATAGCTCAACAACTAGGGATTGTTGATCATGAATCTTCAAAAATGAAAAACATATGCTAAAGTCAATAGTATACAATTTAAAAAAAAACTAAGAAATTAAAGTAATTCTTTTCTATCAAGTGCAATCTACTCCATGTTATTTCGGGCTTAGTTTTGTTACAGATGAATAATAAGCAGATGATTATAGGCATCCCACTTAAATCCCCCTTATGTATGATGACCCCCATATTTGACTAAAGCATCTAAACAATAACTATTGAACGAGATATTCCATTTCCATTACCTTTGGGTGTCGTAAGAGGTGACAGAGGCAAATTTAAACAGGAGATACGAAGCAGCATCTTTCTTATACAACAATTAAAAATCATAAAAAACTGCAGTTGTCAATCTGCCAAGCATGGCATAAATAACTAATATCTCCTCCAATGAGGTCTATGTTCAGGAGTGGACTTTGACAGGCTGCATTTATAGTGATGATGATGGACAAGATAGGGCTTAACTGTTCATTCTCTTTACATCACCACTGTTAACAATCTGGTGTTATGATAGATAATGACTGATTAGTGATTCCTATATTATGTTACATGCTTGAATAGAGAAATTTGCCATGGCTTCATTTAGACTAAAACTTATTTTATTCATACTCTGATAAAAACAACTTGTTTTGTATCTAATACTAGTAACATGATTCTTATTTATACCATGACAAAAATCTTGAAGTTCAAGCGTTTACATCATCCCAGTGTTATGATATTGTTAAAAAAGAAATATAAAATATAAGATGTTTAATAGAATTATTTTGAAGCGCCTCATTTTTTGTGCATATATGCTTCAGAAATAAAGAAGAATATTATATTATACCTTGCTCTTCAAAATCAAACAAGCTGTTTAGGCTACAGGCTACAGGTTCAAGGATGTAGTGGGTCAAAAATAATATTTTTTTGATATATATGAGATGACAAAGGAACTTACAATCCACCTGATGGTAAGTGGCTACTGCTGTCCATGGACACCTGCAGCCGATTTTAAGCAAAAAAGGCTACAGGTGCGTTGTTATTTCTAAGGACTAACATGGAATGCCTCGTATCCTGTAATTATCCTGACTCTCTATACCCTACAGACTGGAACACAGCAGTACAAGCACCACTATTTGGTGGCAGATATGGTAAGAGGTTGGGGTGACAGATATGGACCTATTCAGATGAATTCCTAGCCAGAAAAAGAGTCCCACCACCTGGTAAATATTTTTGAAATAATAAATAATGATAGTGTTGATCACCTCTGGCCATCACTTCTTAATGCTATTGGAAATATTATATTCAAATATTCTGAATTGCAATTAATACCTGTTTTTGGAGGCAACTATTTTCAGTCTCAAGACGAGAAATTTCAGAGGCAGCCTGCGCCAAAAGTGCGCGTGATTGTTCAGCAGCAGCTGTGGCCTGGCCTGCATGTTCGGTAGCCAGTTCACACAACATCTGCTTCTTTTCCACCTAAAACATAATTGTGAAATAAAGTGTTTATTTTTTGACTTAATAAATAAAGATTTCCACAACCATTCGTTTATTTTTAACTCTTTAGTTTCAGTTACTTTAATTGAGGAAGAAAATACTTTTTTGCTTAGGCAATAAAACAGTACTAATTATAACAAGAAAAAGAAAAAGGGACCAGCACGTGGTGTGATAAAATAATTTAATAATATTCAGCTCATAGGTATTCATTACACACCAGCTCCCACAAGCTATCAAGCATGATATGCTTGTGGCAGCCAGCTTCCTCTACCATTTTATAGGGAACAGGATGACCTGTCACTCGACACCATTGCTGTTAGCAACCCAAGTCAACCATACGTAAATGTTTCTTATTTGATTTCTTTAATTACAGCGTATCATTAGTCCACTGCCGAACATATGTCTCCCTATTATATTGCCTCATAATACTGTTCCATGCTTGCCAGGATGATGCTGCAACCTTACTCCTGTTTCAGTTTCTTTCTATCATATATAATATGAGATTCTCAATTAGACATTAATTTCCAACCATGTAGTGGTGGCATACACCACTACACGGTTGGAAATTAATGTCTAATCTATGTCTAAAGGATAAATGTAGATGTCTATGGGCCACAGCATCCACTTACCATCAGATGGACTGTGTGCTTGTTTGTCACCCTTATTCTATAAAAAAAAACTAACATAAATTTAAATAGCAAATTCAAAATTACAAGTATGGAATAATATGATGTTCATGTGTTCTTTTATATAGCACACAAGTAGAAAAAGTCGATATAAAAAACATACTGATTAGTGATTAGTCTTAGAATGTTTCACAAATATTAAAATTTGTTTTATATTATTATTTGTTTTAGAATTATAATCTAAGCCAAGGTTTCTGAAATAAGGAACAATAATTATGATAGTAAATTTTAACTTAAATGTTACCTCTTCACGAAGCATCTGAATCTTAGAATCAGATTCCTTTTTCAATAATTCCACATCTTCAATAAGTTCAGTTTTAATAGTTCCAAGTTCACGATATGCCTCCTTTTCTACATTCTGTAGACTTTCTATAAGGGTTACGTTATGCTCCATTATTCGGGTGTGCTCCTTTGCCAAAGCTGCTTTGGACTTCAGAATGTTCACAAGGGCTTCTTTATATTCATTACATTCTTGTACAGTATTGTTTAAAGTATTTTTGTATGTTACAAGTTCAGATTCCATTGCTTCCTTTGTGTTGGTTAGTGCCTGTATTTTGGCTTCTAAATGTTCCAGTTCTGTATCTGATTCCCTAAGGCGCATTGTTAGAACTTGTACAATATCCCTAGTAACTGATAAAGACATTTCAAATTTATTCTTCTCTTTAATTGCCTTATCAACTTCTACAGTTAGCTTATTAATTTTATTTTCGTGATTAATTATCATCTTTTTAGATTCTTCTTTCAATAGATCTAATTCTTGAGCAAGTTTATATTTTTCACTCTTTAAAGCATCATTTTCATTTTCTAGTGAAATTAGTTCATTTTGTAATTTCTTACTGTGTTCTTCATTCTGACTTAGTTTGTATTTAAGATCCTTTATTTCATTTTCTAAGCTTTGTATTTGATTATCTTGTAGAGACCAGTGTTCCTGAATACTTCTACTGCGCTCCTCTAACTGTATTTCACACAATTTTAATTTCTCATGAGCAGCTTCTTCAATTTGTTCCAGCTTTGCTTTCATTTCTTGTTCTTTAATTACCAACTTGTCTTGCAATTCTGAAATTATTGTATCCTTTTCATTAGTCAGTTGCTCCTTAATTGATTTAATCAATGATTTATAATGTGCCTTAATGTTCTCTTGTTCTGTTTTACTTTTGCTCAGAATTGCTTGTTTCTCTTCTTCCATTTTGTTTTTAAGAGTTTCTAATTCTACTTTATATTCTCGGCGTATACTTTCATTTGCTTCCAGAGCCAGTGCATGATGACCTTTCACCATTTCTAATCTTTGTTTAGTTTCTTCAAGACAAGTATTCATATCAGTTAATTTATTTTGTAAATCCTGACAAAGACTATCTCTTATAATTATAACTTCTTCAAAAGAAGTTAGTTCCACTTGTTTACTACTTACTTCTTGTTCTAATTTCTCACATTGTTTTTCTAATTTATCTACTTCTAGCCGCAAGTGATCAATCATTTTTGCTGTGTCTAAATTTTCACTAGATATTTCATTTTTTTGAATAGCTTTGTCACATAAGGTTATTTGATGCATTTTTTTATTGAGACAATCTATATCCTTACTTGATCCTGCAGTACCATTCAGTTTTCTTTGCAAATTTGCAATTTCATTCTTCAAATCTTCAATTTGTTTATTATATTCGAATATAGTGTGGTCTTTATTTCTACAAAAAAAAATGGTTTTTATTTAAATGTTTCTAAAAACTATAGATACCAATCTACATTTGAGCCAAAAAGATAAAAATAAAACTTGTACCTGATTTCAACCTGCTGTGCTTTAATGAGATCATCTGAGTCATGTTTTTTGCTTAGAGTACTGTTCTTATTTATATTTGAGATTGGCTTTTTGATCGAGTTTGTTACTTTAAATTTGGCAATAGGATGTTGTTTTACTGGTTGTGGCTGTAAAATTTATTCAATTTTTATTTCTTCGAAGTAGTTCTTAAAATATCAAATTAGCTTATTTATACAACTATGTTTTTGGAACTTACTGTTACAAAAGATTTCACACTAGAAGCAGAACTGCACTGAGAATGTGCATAAGAATTTTTCGTATTGGGTGTTTCCACTGGTTTTTGCTTCAAACATTGTGCAGGCATTACTTGAGCTTTCTCCTTAACATTGGAAGATTGCTTTTTGTTAGCACCTAAGGAAAGGAAATCTTCGTTTAATGGACCCCCAAAAATGCGATATAAATGTCAAGTTTTAAAATAGCCTTCTTTATTTTCAATGCTATCAGTTACATTGGAATTAATTAAACCTGTACGATGTGAATACGATTATTTTATTTTAGACGTTTTTGCGTTTAATGTTGCGATGTAAGTATTCTCATATCATAACTAAAAATAATTTAATCTAATAGGTAATAATTGTAGATGTAATTTGATAAATAAAAAAGTAATCATATAATAATAATAATATATTTTTAAATGATTTAAAAAAAATGTATTGTTTACTTACCAATAGGTTCAAATCTTTTAGCTTTCGAAAACATTCTGAAAATAAACGTTACTGTAATTCGATATTAATAACATAAAGCTCATTCAAACTTTTTTCCAAAATTTCTAGGACAAACTTTAACTTTGCTATCTTTGATGCTAGCTTTGAGTTGTCTTCTGTAGCAACTTTTTGTTTCTTGCTTCTGCTTTCAATACATCGCGCGCGAAATTTCACCACATTCACAATTCTCAATGCAATGTTGAATTAACCGTTAAATTACGTTCCTTTTCAACAAATGCATATATTTGGCAAAAAATATTTAAAAATCGTATGTAAAGCTTATTTTAATAAGTACTTACTTACCTTTTATTATTTTATGCTTAAACGTCGTATTTTGCGGTAAATATTTGAATAAATTTAACATTAAAAATATTTTTTTCTAAAATTAGGCGAATAAAGGACGGAGGGACGGAGAGCTTTAGTACATTTCAAGTGACGCCAAAGCCATGTTTCTTATAATCAGATCCGAGGCAAAAACTAGCTATAAATTCACCCCAAACTTAGTTGTAACTAAAATTCTGTTTAAAAATAACAGTCAACCTATTAGTGACTAAATCAGGACACGTTTCATAGCGAAATAATCCTCCAAAAGGCATAAATAATTCCAGTTCTGTTGGAACAGTAGGTTTCAAACTCGGTATGTGACAGTCATCAATTAATCGCTAAATCTTAAAAATAGGAATCACATCTCCAACCCAGAGAGTACGTGTTTTCGAGGGAAGGCTGCCGATTTAGGCGAGAATCCTTCCAAATGTTTTAGGTCCTAAAATATCAATTCACAAAAATAGTTTCTTTCATCATTAATTGTTCTTCACTAGATCTTCTTGTAGTTAAATTCAGAAAGTAGACGACAGAATATATTTTTTTCGTCTGAGCTTAAAACATAGTCTTTTTCACGAAACGTGTCACAGCCCGATCTGCGGCTTCACATATCCAGTTCTGGCCAGCTGCCGTGTGTAGATTGTCACTGCATCCCACAAAATAGACATGATCATATCATCATCATCATTATTACAGCCCGTCATAAATTCACTACTGAATATAAGCCTCCCCTAATGAACGGCACAAAGCACTTTCCTGACCCACTGCATCTATCGACTTCCTGCATCTCTTAGCAGGTCGTCAAAACCTCTAGCGGGGGGACGCCTTATTTTTCACTTCCTGGTACGAAGTTACAAGTGTTATAGGTGTGACATGGAAATTTTATAATATGCTGTAGACTTGTCCATATTCATAATAATATAAGAACTTTTCTATTAGGGGAAGGAAAAACTCCATATCTTTGTCTCAGCAAATCGAAGGTGAGCGCATGTAGTCGCCATTGTTATTAATACCATATCCTTTCTAGTCCAGTAGCTTGAAAACGTCTTCCAATACAGCTATGAAGAGTTTCGGGGATACATCGTCATTCAGTCTTGCACATCTCTGCAGTTGGTAATGGGTTTTGTGCTCTAGTTCCTGTACTTGGATATCGTGGCCTTACTATACAAATACTTCAGTACTTCATTAGTAAAATGTCCTCCAGACTAAAATTTAGTCACGATGGCCAGTGTTAATCGCGCAGAACAGACTTATAGCGCACAAATATATGCGTAGAACAGTTTCTCTTGCCTAATTGTACTTGTATGATGGGACGGTAATCCGACAATACCGGAGAAATATCAGGTGCAGGACCAACGGCTTTATATCCTCTCTAGAGCACGTGTGTGAAACACTACTAACTTCCTGACACCGGGCTGCTACTGAGATTTTCTTGAACCGAAAAACCCAATAACTGAGTTTGGTTCCCACCTCACAATCTGCAGTCGTGCTTATGAACACTAACCCTAACAGAAACAGTCATTGGCAGGCACACTATATACAAACATTCAACCTGGCACCTGGCTGAAGGGACTGTAGTATCACCCAAATTTCGACGGAATTAAAGGTGATGGCTATACATGTGGTCTTCCGAATAAGCCGGTTCCTTTTCGGAAACCGGCTTATTCGAAAAGCTGTAGGTCGTCAAGTCTGCGTGCGAAACGATTCATACTGACTCTTGTAAACAGCACTTACACACGGCACAGAAGGGATTTAACAGAGCATTGTCGTGTTTCTTGATGAACAAGGCTACTCTGTGTGATGTGTACAGCTATCTATTCCTTCGATCCTCTCAATCTCACTTAAAATCTCAGGACCCTGGATTTGTCGCTGCCACAGTAGGTATTTTCGGTAGACAAAACTCTGGAAGACTATGGAGCCTCGGTTCCACTCAAACGCTTCTTCAAAACGACATCTCGTCGTAAGCATTTGGTACTCTATTTGTTCAGTTGTCTGTACGCTCTCATATGTATGGAAGACTGCAGTTTTAGTTTCAGCCATAAGATTAAAAGTGTGATCGTATACGTTCCCGAGTTCCTATGCGACGCATTTTGCAAAACTTAGCTCCGACCACAAGCTGTGTCTCGCCAGTAACGCAAAGTCAGGAATTTGCATTTAGAAAATGTCTTTTTAGGTGCCATGTTTAAAAATTAGGTGCTCTAAAATTTTCACCGCAACGAACTGTTGAAATTTGCGTTGCTGGCAAAATGTGTCGCTAGCAAAACAGTGACGATAATAGATATACGACATTGAGTTATATGTGCTACGTACTAGAGAAGCCATTCCAAACAAAAATTGTGTCCTACTCTATGTCTTCGCGCATGCGCGGGAGTAGTAGTCGCGCATGCGCGAACACTTTAATTTAATATCATCATAGATAAATATATATGTAGAATATCATTGAGTTATATGTACTACGTATGTAGTACATATAGCTCAATGTTTAATATAAAATAAATATAAGAATTTAATATAAAATATCTTAATTTAATCTAAACAAACATATTTCTAAATAAAATGTAATAATTATTATTTTATGGAATTCACAAATCTTCAATTTACGCAATATTTAGTTTGTATGGATTGCACTACAGTTCATGAGTTCAGTTGAACATAGTCAATGTTCGGGATGGCTTCTCTAGTACGTAGTACATATAACTCAATGATAAATATTAATAGCAAGGAATTAAGTGCTAATTAGGTGCTGCAAGTATAGGTAATTACAAGGCGCCCCTAATAAAAATAAAGTCGTTATTCCGAACAAAGCAGATGCAAAAATCAGGTCTTCTTCTGAAAATGGTAAAACTATAGACATCCGGTACTTGCGTACGGTGGTGGACGGGGGTTGGGAGGGGAAAGGGAGGAGGGGGAAGCTCCCCTTCCCTTCCCCCTTGCGGAAATGTACAGTTTATGAGTAATACTCATAGATAAATATATATGTAGCAAGCTAGTAATACTTTTCAACAACTCCGACCGCAAGGACAGTTTCCACGAACTTGTCATTTACAAAAGCAAAATAAAATTACCGTTACTGAAGTACTGATTTTGTTTATGTTCGATAAAAACGCTGTTTTTAGAGTTTAGAGTTACTTACTAGTCGTATAATTTACTGTTCGGACTCGGACGCTAACATGTATAATATGTTAGATTTGTTGTCGCTGTGATAAAAATCGGGGTAGGGGTAGTTTATGAGTAATAATTTTGTTTGTAAAATCATAACCTCACTTTAACGCAACGGCTTCGGCGCTGCGGGGAGTGCAGCCCCCCGCGTTGTTTTATTTTTTTTATAGAAGAGGAGGCAAACGAGCATGCTGCTCACCTGATGATAAGTGACTACCGCTGCCCATAAACAACAGCAACACCAGGGGAATTGCAGATGCGTTGCCGGCCTTTTAGAAAAGTGTAAGCTCTTTTCTTGAAGGTCCCTAAGTCGTATCGGTCCGGAAAAGTCGCCGGTGGTAAACAATTCCACAGAAAAGTTGTGCGAGGAAGAAAACTTCTAGTAAAACGTACAGTAGTGGACCGCCAAGCATCCAGATGCTGAGGATGGTATCGTAAATTTTGACGCGATATACATTCGTGAAATTTAGCGGCTGGAATTAATTCGAAAAATTCCTCAGAGCACCCCCCGTGGTAAATTCGATAGGAAATGCAAAGGGATGCAACATCCCTACGCAGTAGACATGGAACGAGTACTCGGCCACCGGATACCCGGTACTCTGCCGAATACTCGGCCTTAAAAAACGTGGTAGCCGGCGGCATGCGGTTATTTCCCTTACAAACTAGACCCAAATAGGGCCGAAAAACAAGTGTTTTTGCATCACAATCTTCCTCTCTTAAATTTTAAATATAATAATTTCTATTATCGATTCTTATGTACGTTCTAAATATTTCTGCTGCTTTTCATGTTCCTGATGTTTTAATGTGTCTAATGTAATAATAATGATAAAAACTGACTTTTTGTCTTTATTTTTCTTTGGAATATAATTAAGGCCGAGTACTCGGTACTTGGCCGTTAGTACTCGGTGCTCGGCCGAATCCTAAAAAAAGGCCGAATACGCCGAGTACCGAATTCAAACCGAGTACTCGTCCCATGTCTACTACGCAGTGCCAGTGCATCGAGCCGATCAGAAAGAACTCGGTCGTCGACGATTCGAACCGCTTTGCGCTGGATGCGGTCAAGTGGAAGGAGCTGGCACTGGGGTGCTCCGGCCCAGAGATGAGAACAGTATTCCATGTGAGACCGAACTTGCGCTTTATAAAGTTGCAAGCGATGTACCGGCATGAAATACTGTCTCGCTCTGCTGAGCACGCCAAGCTTTTTAGAGGCCAATTTAGCCTTCCCTTCCAAGTGTCCACGAAACTGCACACTATTCGATATGTCGACGCCGAGGATTCCGATGCTAATGAGTTGGACGCAAGAAGAGAGCTCAACAGATCGGCTTTCTCCTTTGCGGCATGGACCAGTGAGTCGTTCTCTCTGTATAGAGATGGCTGACAGAAGTTCCCTTGGACAGCCTTGGCGAAAGACCAGAATGCACGGGTTCCCGAAGGAAGGCGAATTAGCTTGTCGCCAATTTTGCCGATGTGCTCAGACCTTGCCTTGGGAATAGACATGCGCGCCGCGCCGGCGCC